AAAAAAAGGAATGAGAAACACTCAAATAACGAAGAAGATTATAAGACACGAGTGCGGCTAGCTGCAAATCCCCGCGCGCTGCAGTATACTGTAAAGCTGGAGAGGATTCAAAAAACGCACGCGCATAATGGTTACAAAGGATCGGAGCAGATGTCGACGAACATCGTTTAGTAGTGCAAAAAACTGGAATTTGGCGTTTGATGAAAACTGCAATTGGCAATTTCAACAATGCTGAACAGTATTCGACTCATTACGGAGTCAACTTGCAGTCAATATCAAAGAGCGTGGTATTATTATCAAATGAATGAGAAACCACTATCACGTACAATTCCTACAAATTTTGGTAAAAGAAGCTTCAAGTGTAATCAGTACAGCACTAAAAGCTGCATAATACCGGCAGTTCATAGTTATCTTTACTTGACTGTGCAAGTAATGATTAGACTAGTAGCGAGTATAGAAGCCGCAAAGTTTTAGGATGTTCACAAGCACCTAACTAAGGTCGGCCCTTTTGAGTTCGCTTCATGGTCTTGTTTTGAAAAACTCCTGTTATACTGCTATCCTTGGAAAAAGTTCTTACTCATAATTCCATGGCGACTTTGCAACGCATTGTCCTCCGTTCAAACATAGGTTATTAAAGCAGGCGTCAGCTGGAGCTTCGCAGTACGGTGGCTTGAATCCAGGTTCACATACACACCTATGTATTTAAACCAAACGCTCTACTCAAAGCTGATAAGTTAACCATTGCACCTGAACCCGTCTCGTTTTTCTTTATCATCACACAGCTGCAAAATTTCTCCAATTTCATCGTACTCACATGGTAGGCACTCTCCGCGATTACATGGATTCGTTGGCTTGGAGCAATTTCCTACGCCAGAATAGATACATTTTGTTTCTATAATAGTCAGTCTCTCCAAAATATTTCCGACTCTGACCCTACCTGCGCTCTTTTGATCATCCAGATCTTCAGACATTCCGCATATACAGCGATAATTTTGAGCTGATAAATCCCCTTTTACTTCCGTTTCATCAGGAATCTATGTATGTTAATATCATCTATGTTTACTAGTAGTTCTACTCAACTATGTTTTTTTGTATTTGTTTGTTTGCGAATGTTTGTGTTTCTGTGTTCTTTTCTAATGGCGCACATTGAGAGCACATAATAAATGAATTTATAGAATGGATAAATGAAGTGTAACTAACCGCAATGCACGTTGATGCTTTTCCGCACGGGTTTCGAGCGCAAGGGTCATAGATATCGCACTTCTCGCCAACATATCCGGGGAAGCAGCTGCAATAATGCTTGAAATTTATAAGTTTCGAGAAAAAGCTGACTTACTCGCATAAAGCTATTCCCTCTGGCGCGATACAATGCCCTTGCTGATAACTAGTGCAACGATTTTCACGAGTAACTCCAGTTTCTTTCTCAACTGCGGTCGGTTCGCACGCGTCTCTTCTATGATACTGAAAGTTGCATTAAAAATGTGTGAGCAGTACTGCAGCTATTTTTGGCTGAAGGTGAAGCTTCGATATCGATTTAGGGAAGGGGGATAGTGTCAAGGTGCTAAATGCATCAAGAACACAGCTTCGATAAGAAGCCCCGAAGTGTACTAGATCTTACATCATGCCTCAAACCCTCACTTCCTCCCTTCAAACTTAAATGAACCAAAACATCAATAGAGCAACAATGGTGTATGCGACGCCATGACCAGGTTAGACAAAGGTTCAATCCCTAGACCAGAATCTCCAATCTCTCTGTTCGGTAAATCGCCATCAAAGTAGCCTAAGGCCCGCATGCAATAACATCCCTGCGGCGAGGGGA